TGTTTAGAAGGCACAATGCGGACAGTACCTCCAATCCACTTTTCAGGCCTATTCCAAAAAGAGTTACTCCAAGACCAATCAATAGAACATCCTTTCTTGTGTATCCAAAAGGGGTCTGCATTACAAAAGAAATAATAATGCTTACTATGGCTCAGGGTAAACAAGTCGTGTATGACATCAGCCACGCAATTAGCCAAGATGAGAAAGGAGACAATTGGCTACTCCATAAAGCTTTGTGTTCTGTCAATTTTCTTAGTTATGCATCTCAAAGGCTGTTAGCTAATGCATGCGCTGCATGAGCATGATAAGGTTTCTTTGCAAGTAAAATATCTTTCAACAAATTCATTTTTTCATAGAAAATTAAGCTAAAGAAAACCTTTTGGTGCTAAGACAGACGAGAACTTTCTTGGTTTCTGAAAGAAAGAAGTTCCCTTCCTGCTCTACAGAAATGCATATGACCAAAAGCATGATATTGCATCAGAGAAGCTTTTCAGGAAACTCTATGCCACATATCATTTTCCAGCTAATGGTATAGTATCTTGTGAGAGTCAAATCAGAAAATGTCATTTGAGGGTATCAGGATAAACTTAATTTCCATCCAGCATTCATGTACTGACTACCGAGTATTGCAGAATAAGTACATCTCATTACACGGAAACGTTTTAATATTGGTTCAAAGGTATCATTAAACATGACCAAATTTAGAATAATCATCTAAAACCTATACATTACAAATAGATTAAACAAGAAACTGATAAGATAGAATTGCCTCTAAGTGGAAGAATAGAGGTAATTGGACTTATTAAACATGCCTTGTCTTGGTTAGAGGAGTCATCACCACTACCATCACTGGAGTTTGAGGATATGTTGCTCCTGGGAATTGTAGTCACTTTCTTTGTCACGAAGCCATGCAATCCCCTTCTAATATAAGGCAAAGTTCCTTTTCTAAGAATTCCCTGTGAGATAACTCTATCTGAAAAAACAAGATCATATACTAAGGGAAAAAAGGGAAGAAAAAAAAAGAAGGAACAGCATACGATTGCATGATATGTTTCAGTTTATTGACCATTTACTAACAAAGAACTAAGAACAGTATGACAACTGAACTCCGTGAAGATTATTTTCTGAGCTACCAGTAGAAATTCTGTAGCTCATTTGAACATTGGCAGCACTTACGAGAATTCGGTACTCAATAAATTATTTTATAACAGTTGTTTTTTCCCTCTCTTTATAACAGATTTTAAATTATCCAAGCCTAAGTTCCCTAAATTAGTACGTACTTTATGGAAAGTCATAAGTCTACTGGAATAGCAACAATTATTTCACAACTTTCGTATCTAGATTTCACAGACTATTAATTTTCCCTTACCCTTTAGGCTGCATTGAACATTATTTGCAGAGTTTTCATGCTGAAAGCCTTCTCTTGTTTGCACTCATACATAATCGATTCACTAATAATCATCAAATAAACTAAAACAAACCCAGAAATTTAAATAATGATTTCAAAACCATATCAGATCATCGTCATAATTAGCGTTAAAAGAACATTTAATTGAAAAATAAAGGAAATTCGCCAACTACTGACCTCTAGAGAGGTAGGGTAAAGCTCCCGCCTTTGGCTCTGATAATGGAAAAGAAGACAAGCCCACCAAAGAAATCGCTCTACTTTTGCATAAAACGCTGTAACTTATGTCTGAACATGGTACGGATGCCATTTCTTTAAGGTTTTCTGCTGCTCGTTTTTGTTCCGGGCGGGCGAGTGCGAGTGGCTTCAAACCTTTCCTGTTAGACTGGCGACCGTTAACTTATCCTCTCGTAACCGAAAAATCTTGTTAGAACTGGGTCGGGTTCGGGCTAAATCCGGTACTGCAATTAACCCGACATTATGCATTACGGATCTCGGGCTGGCGGGGTGTCTCTGTCTTGCATCCTTCCTTCACATTTATTTTTCTGGAGGGCTTTTTTTTTGGGGGGGATAAAAGAAACAATTACAGTAGCATGAATCTGCAATAATGATAGAAAATACATTAAAATGAGGTGTAAGCTATCTTGACATAGTTCTAATTCATAAATTGACTACAATTTGATTTCAATTGTTTAAATTTCTTACAATTTAGGGATTAACGATAGATAGTTGAACCTATTATTGTGCAAATAGTTACAATACTTATCGATATGGTATGGCATTGACTTTTTTTTTATACATTATAAGGGCTGGTTGCTAAATATGTTATGAAACAAAAGTAATATGTATGTATATATTGTCCAGTCTGTTTGGATTGTGAATTATTAGAGATATTTTTACTGTAGCACTTTTTGTGATGTGATGTATGTGAGATAAAAAGGTAATTGGGAAGGTAAAAAGGTGTATTGAAAATTGTAATGATGATGTAAGCAAATAAATTTGGGGAAATAAAGTCCAATCCAAACAAACCAAGTTTCTGTTAATTTCTACCACCCAGTTTTCGTGTCAAGTCTAATCTACATAGTTGTTGGCTTGAAGAAATACTTGGAATAATTACTGTACAGGACTTGTTTGGATAGAATATTATTTAAAATAATTACTGTAACACTTTTTTGTAATGTGATGTATATGAAATAAAAAGACGAGTGAAAATATAAAAAAATGAGTTGGAAAATGTGTTTGTGATGCAAGCGAAATATTATTTTAAAAAAAATTAATATCCAAACAACTGGACTAATGCCACCAGTATGACAGCTAATAGAGAGTTTCAAACCATGAGAGCTTCAAGTAGTAAAAAGTTTTAGAATCTAAACTACATTTAAAAGAAGCTTTCTTTAACGCAACACATAAAATCAAGAACATGGAGCTGATAACAATCAACAAGGTGGACTCAAATAAAATTAGAAGAAGAAGAGCACCAAAAAAGCAGAATATAAAAGCTTGTAATCATGATTCCCCTCCTGAAAAGGTTGAACCTAACCACCTTCATTCATAATGGACAATTAGAGAAAATAGAGATGCAGGGTAGTGAACTTTATTGGTCGATCATAGACCATAGCTTTCTATAATTGCTATTGGCTAATTAAATGCTGAAGGTCTCAATAATTTGTTCAGATCGATGGTGTCCATTTTTTGGAGTATGCATGTTCAAAGTAGTATCTCCCAAGGCCTCAAAAGTCCCAACTACCCACCAACCAAGAGACTTCAATTCCAGTCACTGTTAAATTGAATAAAATTAAGAATAAGGAGCAACCGCATTAATCATTGGATTCGTTCCAATCATTGTAACAGACGACTGGCTATCAAATAGTATCAATATGTAGTTAATTTCATGACCTTTTGATTTGGCAACCACCCATACGCGGATGCGGAGATATCATTGTGCTTTATTGGAACCTCAACCGCAAAAGGGGTTCAAGGATTGAAGTTAGTTTTTCAATGAAATTTTTTTACGTTCTCGTAATCACATTTTCGTAATCACATTTTTTCAATCAGACGTTCGCTTAATAAATATATATATACAGAAATTTCAGAAAATAGCAATTCAAACGCAAGACTTCAACTTTATAACATCATACATGATAAATTAGATTGGCCATTTTTTGTGTCTCCAAAGTGTAGGCAATTAGTTAAAAATCAGAAATATCGATGCCATATAAGTTCCTCCTAAGTTGACAATCTCAAGTAGTACTTGATTAATGGGGAAAATACAAATTAATAGCTCGAGCTGCTTACAAAATGAATCTTTTGACTGTACAGAATAGTTTCTTCTTCAGTAGTACACAACGCCAACAAGTGATACTAATCTCTTCAATTCACCTGCAGCAAAAAAAAATCTCACCTGCAGCAAAACAAAATCCAATGGTGATACTAATCTCCTATTAGCCCCTACACACAAGCCTCTTTAGACTCTCCTCCCCTATAAATTATGATAGAATAGAGTGTACAATTCTTATCGTTGCTGGCAATTATTATCGTTGCCGGAAAAAAAAGAAAAGTGACACTAATCTTTTCTTTTGAGTTGTTCATTCTGACATTTTTAGTTAGCAGGAATGAGCATGCAATTACAACAACTCGAAATATAACAGGACGTCTATTACTCTTTGTCCCTAAAAAAAAATTGTGTCCAAACAAAAAAAACTATTACCTTTTATTCTTTTCTCAAATTTAAGTCAATTCAGAAAAATGCTAGACCTGATGAACATTTGGCGTGACAAGTTTGGGCCAATTTCTATATGCACTTGGATATACTAACAGTCAAGAGTGGAATTGTACGCGGCTGCTGTTTGTTTGAACTTTGAAGAATTGTCACCAGCAAAAAATAAGCAATCCATTCAACTAATAATCTGAAAGCCTTTGAATGCGGAAAGCAACTTGTACAATAATCCCGGAGCTGATTATCTTAATAGACTCTGGAATAATTTGCAAGCTAGCAAGAGACTGCTATAAGATAGTGACAGGATACCTAGAGCAAGGATTTGGGATTTCACGTTGAAACTGCACCAACGTTAGTACAGTTTCAGCATGCATAACCTTTTTAACCCTGCCTTCGATCGTCTGAGAATATGACGTGCTTGAGGAGATTGGAAGTAGGTGACCAGCCAGATGGATTATATTTCAAGAAAATGCTTGATACCATGTCATATCATTGGGTTGGTAGTGTCCTTATGCGAGCTTCCCTGCAGTACCCAATGCCTACAGTCCATGCCTCTCCATGTGCAACTGAATATGTTACCAAGAAGATTGAGTCCATGCATTGGATTTATTATTATACTACATTCATGTTCCATCTCAGCCTGGCTCAAGAAAATGAGAGCTTGATGTTATTATCACACCTAGACTCATGAAACTTTTCATGCATTCTAGACACCTAAACACTTGTGCTTTAATTAAAAAAAAAAAAAAAAAACCCAAAATTTCACCAACATTTGGTGCACCGTTCCCTAACCCCTAGTAATAATAAAATGTTTTCTTAGGCTTCCTGTCAAATTGATATTTTTTTTCTTTGGACTTGTGAGCATCGTTAGCCAAATAGTTAATAATAATCCATTCAACTTAACATTATATAGTAGAGCACAAAGAACCCACATTGCAGCATATATTTCTCCACTTCCTTTAACTACCATCTCTTTGTACAAAGTATTATTATGTCGTTTTGCCATTGAACCCTCAAATTCTGATCATCAGTTCTCTGCTTTCTTCACAGACTTGCCCTCCCAGTGTGTGGACTCTGTGTGATTGTGTCATGGGAAATGTAGCACTATGTGCACCTTCAATCATCTCCAGTGGTGTAGTGAAAGTTTTATTTAGTGATGGAAGATTGGTAATCTACACAAGGCCAGTGAAGGCAGCTGAACTTATGCTGGAAAACCCTGGTCAATTTGTCTGTGATTCTTCCCATCTAAAGATCGGTCATCGAATTCCAGGACTCTCAGCTGATGAAGAGCTTGAAGTTAGGCAAATTTACTATCTTCTCCCCATGGAAATGCTGTATTCGGTCCTGACAAGTGAAGAAATGGGCTCTCTGAATGACAAGTCTTCCAAAGCATTCAAACAAGGAAGTTTAAGCTTTTCAAAGATTTTTCCAGTTCTTGGTGATTTCTGCCTGTTTCCATTAACTTCAGAAACCAGTAAGAATTTGGACTCTGCCACAAATGGTCCAGAGCCAGCGGAAAGGTATGCAAGACAGAGATCATGGAAACCTGCATTGGAGACCATCATTGAAGCGCCAACGCCACCATATGCCTAGGCATTGATGATGAGTATTTTCTTGTTTTTTCTCTCTTTTTTTTTTCCCCTCCTCTTGAATATTTTTAACCTTTTAATATACTTACTTCTTAATGCTTAGTTGATGTGATGTAATTAGAGTGTGAATCTAGGTTATCCATGAGTTTAGATCAATGTAATGTACTTCTTTCATGAAGCACTATGATTATGAGATCAATGATTTTTGCATAATATTGACTGACAAGAAGACAATCCCTAAGAATTGTCAAACAACCGAGAAGCTTCTTGTTTTTATCTGAGCCCGAATTGATTTTCTTCTCGAGCACAATAGGGAAAGGAATTGAGACAACATGATATGACCTTCTTATTGTTCTTAGCCAGTAATTGCGAAAGGATAGGATGAATTGTATAGTTTACACACATCTATAAATTCGTCTTCTAGTCAATATGAAATAACTAATTTGTGGGATTTCTTACATGTGAAGATATTGTTGAAGGACTCTATTCTCACATTAATAATCAGATAGCAGAGCAAAATCAAAATCTTTTGAGGAGTTGGCCACATCAAATATTCATATCCTTCATGTGATTCTGTTTCCCACTTTCCCTTTCATTACAGCAATTGTTGCCTCTATTTTTGCATGCCAAACATAAACAATTGGCTTTAAACCAAAGCCAACTCAAAGTTCACCAAAAGTGCCTCATTTGCCTGATGAAAGTGACTCAACAAATGCATGGTGCCAAAACCTAGTTTGGCATTGGGCCATGGATGTGCTGGTAATAGTTCCAAAATGTTTCTCCTACTTTAAACAAATTTTGAAGCATCCAAGGTAGCAGCAGGCTAAATTACAAGTAAATGGTAGTAATAATGGAGTATCTAATCATGCAACTCTTTCCCCATGTTTTATGCAGTGATTGTTGTCCATGGCAAACATATCATGACAAGAGATTTGTTCAAATAATTCTAAGATAGTCTTCTTCCAGTCAAATGTTCCACCACATTATTCTAAGTCCATTGAGCAATTTTGACACTAAAATGCATCTTTTGATGGTGACAATTTCTACCTTCCAAGTATCCAAAGAACTGAAAAGCATATTAATTTTGTGTGCTTAATGGAGGGTTGTTTTTATTTTCATCTTGTTTAAGAAAAATAAGATGACATTAAAAATAAAAAAAAACAAAAAAAAACTAGGGAATCAAGCTTTTATCCACAACAATACAATTATTGATTCCACGAGGTGCTTATCCAATATTCTACAGCTTATTGCTATAAAATTTACCATAAAGTGAATAATTAAAAAGTTAGCACCAGAAATGAGAAAATGAACAAAGGAAAAGGCAATTAGAGAAAAGGTATTCTATCCAACACCTCCGCCACCACCACTGCAGATGCCACCGAGAGACACCACCGAGAATCTACATAAGCCTCCGGCGGCCGACTCCGCTTCATCCACCTGGGCAGGTGGCAGAACCCTCCCATTAGCAAACAAAACCCTCCCGTCTGTGGGCTGCATATGGATTCCTCCAACTCCTTCAAGCTCCGTCGCAGCACCACCAAAAAATGCGCCGTCCCCGAACCTCCTTTCCACCTCCAAATACTCCCCTAACGAAGATGGCTGACAATCACACTCATCCCTGCAAAACCTCCACCACCTTCGTCTTCTCCACCGCCGCCTCTCATCCTCCTCGGCCGCCATTGCAACCGCCCTGTTCTTCTTCGCCTTCTTGTTTCTCCGGCAGACGTTAACGGGGCCGTTTGTCGTCGCCGTCTGAAGTTGCCGGTGCTGAGAGTGGGACCGGGAAGGAGCTCTGAATGTAATAGCTGGAAAAGTGACGCCCATCAACGTCCCTAATGTCGTACTCCGGTCATGGAAAAATGAACCTGTAGACTGTTTGTAAAAATGCCCAAATGAAAATCTTCATACAAATGTCTATGTTTTAAGACATGGGGCGGTGGTGGGGTAATTAGTATTAGTACCTCGGTGTCAAGATCGGAAGAAGAAACGGAAGAAATGGTGGGAGATGATGGAGGAGGCAGCAGCTCATTTGCAGGATCCAACATCTTAATTGCTGACAAACCTTCTATTTTCTCGCGTGTCAGCAGTGTGTTCTTTCTTGTGTTAAAATGCGTGTTGGGATTGAGGAGAGTGTGGGAATACAGATTGGCTCTTCTTGGTAGTTGATATTTCTGTGAAGAGGTAGCGGAATAAAGGAAATTGGAAAAAAAGAAAGAAAAAGAGAAAAGAAGAAAGAGTCTAAAAAGTTTTGGGCCAAGGCCAACTGGAAATTCAGAAGCAGAACATAATAGTTTGAGTGTTGTTTAGCTTTGCAAGAGTAGTATGCTTCATGAGTGCTGAAAGTGGGGAGGTCTTCCACACTATGCAATGATAAGAGTCAAGGAGAACAGGAGGTAAAGATGGAAAAGGGAAAGATGAGAAAGTGTTTGATATTATATTTTATTTTATTTTTTCATTTTTTGAGCTGGTATGGAGGGTTCTTTTATGGGGGCTTCCCCATGCTTAATTTGGCATTGATTTTGCCAAGTTGGCTTGGACTGAGAATGTTTACGTGCAAGAAATCTTGGTTTGGTAGTTCTTACAGTATCGGCTACGCCAATGAGTTCAGAAATTTTGGTCATCATTAAAGTGACTGGTGACCTAAACCAAAATCCTTTTGCCTTCAATTGTTTATAAGATCTTCTCTCGATAGCCGGATGTAGACATTAGGACCAGTTTCATAAGATCTTCTCGATAATTGAGATATAGATTACATTAGGAATGAATTATACTTTGATGTGTAGAGTTAATTGTTAGTCATATAAGAAGAGGCTTTTAATTGAAAAAAAAAAATGTCGGCAAACGTATCCACGGCTAATCCTTGGCCAGAAATGTGTAAGTACTTTTTCCTACGGTATCTATTATACCTCATGCTTTACACCTGTACCATATTGATTTGATTGTGTTCTTGCTGAAGGTAAGCCATGTCAAGTGGAGGAATTAACAAATATACTTACTCTTAACAGGACCATAAGGTCCATTTAGTGTGCTTTTCAACAACACCCTTTTCCCTACCTTTGATCATTGGGAGGGTGGGAATGAGGTCCAAGGCTCATCATTTGTATGTTTTTTTGGATGGGATTCTCTCTGTTCTTGATTTTCTTTTTGTTCCTTTATCTCAAGCCATGCTTTCAAGTACTTTTACGTATTAGTCACCACATTTTTTGGCTTTGCTTTGGCTTAGATGTTCTTTCGTTCAAATTTCTAATTGTTTTTTTGATGATAATTGGGAAATTAAAATGAAAACTGGTTTTGCTTATGAAGTATCGAGTGTTCATTTGATAACGTTAAATGAATAAAGTATAATTCAATGGCATGAATCTTTGTGGGCGGGAGTAAAAACTTTCCTTTTTTTTGGGCTGGATAGCAGTCCTTGATTGATGTTTGCCAAACCACGCCTTTGGTGTAGAACTGCTGATACATGAGGGAACTGGCTGATGGACCGGAAAAGCGCGTCCTGTCTCCAGATACACGAACACATCCATCATCAATGATGGATAAAGCTAAAGGCGAAGAATTGGATCAATGCAGTTGGGCTAAGGCAAGCCCAAAATTCTTGAAATCTCATAGTTGGGCTGGTGGGCTGCAGATTTGGAGCTTTAGTTGGGTCATTGCACTATCTGTTGTGTTTGTTGAAAAGTTTCAAGAATTACGGCAAGTGCAAACCATAAAAAAAGTTAAAAAATTAACAAGGGATTTAGTCTTTGTCCCCTTTTTTCGTTGTTTTAGCATCGACGAAGGGTGTGAATGAGTCGAACTTAATCCATTAGTTCATGAGTTTGTTCAGTTAAGGTTCTAGCTCGAACTCGCGGTGACTGAGTTCAAACTCGAGTAGCTAGTTGACTACTTGAATTTAAGCTTAGTATGCAAAGTTCAAAAGGTCATTAACCTTAATCGAGTTTAATCGAACTTCACACACGCGCGCACACACATATTTTAAATATTTTATTTATTAGTATAAAATGTCTATTTTCTTTCTTATTTAAAATTATATGAAATATAAATTCCTTAAACTCGATTAAGTTCGATTAAACTCAATTGAATTTGAATTAAGCTCAATTGGGTTTGATGATGACAAGTTTGAGCTCAAACTTGAGTAATATAAAACAAAATCGAGTTCGAGATTGACGAACTCGAGTAGTTTGACACGATTGTGCCTCAGCGAGGATCCACCAATTCAATTGCACCACTACAAAGACAAAATTCTCATGCCCTACTCAAAATACCAATTTCTGCTCTAAAATGCCTTTAATTTAGTAAACTTTCTAAAGAGCATGATGAAGTATGGACTATTATAGCAGTTTGCTTAGATGTCCAGCACAAAAATTCGTGGGGCATACAATAATAATTTCTTGAACTTATCTTTGCTTGTTGGGTTCACGAAGTTTCGCAGCTCCTTCTTGCTATATTTGGCTGGCTTTGACAATAATCAATTCCAGCATATTACCCGCAATTTATTCTTCAATGTCATTACTTTCTGTTTGAAAATCTTGAAACAAAGAGCACTCACATGAGATACACAACTAATAAGAAGAATTACAAACTTAGAAAAAGGTACATGCTTCGCGATAACTTTAGTCATATCAGGGGAGAGATGGGTTGGGTGATTCAGAAGAAGAGGGAATTATAAGTAGGAGATATCCGATTAGATCATTTTCACTTGCACTTCAAAATAAAAAATTTGTTAGTCTTATTCATTTTGCTCTTGAAAGAGAACAAATTTTCAAATAATCTCATTCAAATTAGGATACCTGCTACCAAGAATTTTGCAATTAATGGCTCTCTCACAAATCTCCAAAGAAGAAAGAAAATGTGTCTGAAATTAAAAATTCCAATTGGTATAATGACGTGGAAGAACTTTTTTTTTCAATGCAAATATACGGTTTTCCTTTTTTATTTTTTAAGTCAAACACACCTAATTATAAAGCGCTATAAATTGATTCCTTACTAAATCTGATACCCAAAAATAAAAAAAAAATTACAACTTGATTCATTTTTTCTCCACGCACCTAGCCGGGCCCGGTTCAATTGACCAATCATTAGTTCGTCTTTGTTTTTGCTCGTGCTGGATCGAGAAAATATCAAACACGGATACCGGAAAAACATCACACTCGATCGTAGTCCTTGTCGGTGCCACGTTTCGCCATTATTATGTACTCGGGCATCCCAATTCAAGAAACCCAAATGGACCCTTAAAAATGGACAAAGGGTATCCCAGATTAGTATCACATTAACTGCCCCAACCAAACTGGGTCCTGGGCTACTAGCTATTTAAGTCCACCCAGGCCCCAACCAACAAGAATAAGGAGAGTGAAATGAATACCCATTCAAGTGTAAAAAATGCAAATTTAAGAAAAGGACAAAACTTCCACAAAAGATGAGAATTTGTAGAAATGAAGATAATATAATGCAGAAATTAAAGAAAAGAAAGGAAATTGTTTCTTTAATTATTTGTTTCACATAGATTTTGTTTTGAGTTCAACTTGATATTTTTGCAAACTGCTAACCAAAAAAAAAAAAAAAAAACGGAGAGAGAGAGAGAGAGAGAATTCATTTTTTAATAAAATTTATTTGTCAATGAGAGCTATATTATTAATTTAGATCAAAATGGTCTTAAAGAATCCTTAACCAACATTTTTAAAAAACAAAGGAAAAATATCCCCCTTTCTCGTGGTATATTCTGTTTGGATTGTGATTTCTGAAATTTTTTGTAGAAAATATACTATAATTATTTGATATATATGAAATAAAAGAATAATTAAAAAATGTGTTTACGAAAAATATAGAAGTTTTCAGATAAAAAATGACTTTTCAAATAAGATCTAAATTTACAATAGAAAGTCGAGGAAACTTTTGTCTAATAATTAAAGTTGAATTTGAATTCTCTGATCCATCCTCGTTCCTTAAATTTCGCTCGCTCTTTCTTTGCTAAAAAAAAAAAATTCACAATACATTATAACAATAAAAATTTCACTCGCACTTTCCAAACTTGGTGGCTTATAACAATAATACCATACGATTAACGATAAGACTGATGAGTCATCAGCGAAATTCACAATCAGTTCTCTTTGAGTCAACAGCGAAATTCAAAATCTATCCAAATTGTTTAAAAATGGTAAATTAAAATGTTTGTTTGGATAGGGTATTATTTAAAATATTATTTGGAATAATTACTGTAGCATTTTTTGTGATATGATGTATGTGAGATAAAAAGGTGATTGGGAATATAAAAAGGTGGATTGAGAAATATGTTTATGATGCAAGTGAAATATTATTTGAGATATAGGAACTATCCAAACAAACCCAAGTTGGAACAACGTGCAATAAAATATTCAACACCCTCCGGCGGCACATGACAATTACAGCTCTACAAGCCACATTTGGTAGACTATTTTTTATTGCTGTTGCAAAGTCAAGAATCTTAAGCACACTTCATTTCGGTTGTCAAAGCTCAGAAGATACAGAAAAAGATCACTAGCACATTAGCAGTTCATTTTGCTGTTGGTTTTAGCTGCAAAAAAAATGGCTTCTGGAAGTCAAAAGATTGTGGGGTTTCTGGGATTGGATGAAGTCGGTTTGGAATTGGCCGCTTCCCTTCTCCGTTCTGGCTATGATGTCCGAGCTTTCGAGGTTTGATCATCACTTCTATTTATTGTTTTTCTCGGTTTAGTGACTCAACTGGAGAGATTTTGCTTTGGTGCTTGAATTGTTGGCAAGCTGTTCGTCTGGAGTTTCCTACTACTGCTATTTTTGAGTTGTTTCCTTTTTTTAGTGAGACTGGAGCTGCATTCCTCGAGCAACTCAGCTTTACATCGATTCTTCTTTCCTTTCATTTGATTAAAATATTTGAAGAACTTCCAACAATGGGTTTAAGGCGACAATGCTGGATGTTTGTTTCCTTTCTTGTTCCATTAAAGCAATCACTTAGTTTAATTAGCATAATGGAATTGCATTCTGGTTTCCTTGTCTCAGTTAGACCGTAGAAAACTTGAAATCATACATCTAATCTACAGATAGATGTTGTTCAAGAGAATCGGATGAAGAGTGAAGTCTTGTGAAAAGCCTTGTAAGCTGTTTCAGCGACTTCTTTAAATTCTTGTCCTCATGCAGGAGTCATATGCCTCGTTCATATTTGGTTTACCGCGTGATAAGAAGTAGCTCATTGAAAGTGCTAATCTTTGGGACATTCTCACCATTAATGTAAGTCAGTCAGACACTTCAATTATGAAATGCCGCTGTGAGAAAATGGACTTCAGAATTGAGGGAGGATGTCTATGATTGCTCTCAGGAGCAATTATTATGACTGAAACCTCAAAAATTTTCGGTCTAGATTTGAAGAGCATACGAAATAGATGAGTTTAACAGTGTTTTGTTAAATAGAATGTATTAGCTATTCATATATGCAGATGCAGTTCATCACTAGTCCACATACTGCAGATAGCAATAACGATCAGGTTAGATCATGGTCAAACCAAATCATATCTACACATATTTGTGACTTTTCACTCCATTGATTAAGGAGAAAGACCTCCATTATGGTTATGGCACTGTACCTCATGCTAATTGCTCTAGCAAGCATCTTTCCTTTCCACTCTGGTTCTGATCCATATATCTACACACCATGTTTACTTGTATTCTTGGTTGTATGCCATGACTACCACTTGGGTAAAGATGAAAAAGTTTCAAAATCCGTACAATTTCGTCAATACTATTTATGCAGTATATGATGCAGTTGATGTAGCCATGTGGTTCTTATTGTTAGCAACTCCGTTGTATTCAGTTTCTTTTGCTTCT